CCTGCACAGACTGGTTCAACAAGTAGTGCTACAGCTGAGCTGCTGTAAGTCTTATGTTGAGTGCTGGGCTTTTCTTGAAGCTTCGTCCTTCAGCTATAGTTTTATTCATTTCAGGGATCTGTAGGGCAAGCTGCAATATCCTCCCTACTCCAGCAAGTTTCAGTTTTATCCGTAAATTATAGCACTTCACTTTTTTTGAAGATTTATTTACAATGTCTTGGTATCTGTAATGTGATTTAGATTTTTTCCTTGAGATAATTTAACTTGATTTGGCATGAATAGATCAGGCTTACCAATGAGACCACAGTTTGTGGGCTTTCGAACGAGGATGCTAATCATCCCCGTACCTTCGCGAGCTTCCACCCTTGCGGTCGGAAAATAGCTCTGGTTTCCCAAGTTATACCATTCACAATTTATAGCGGCATCCAGCATACAGGGAAGATATGATTCCTCTTCACTTGCAATATTCATCTGTATCATCTATACACATTGATCGTCGAGTTGCTGGAGCGGGCGCCAGTAGCGTTCCCATTCGATCCTGCAACGTGCAGGAATTGCCCAATGGTCCTCTCTGCTCGAGGGACACGATGAACTTCATATCATTCAGAATCGATGGTTCCCTGAGCTTCATTGTGTTTAATCTTGCTGTAATGAGTAGAACGGCGAAGCTCTTCTCTTCGTTAAATCTTTATTATATGACAACGTTTCGGGAAAATGTTGTCATATGATAAAGATTTAACGAAGAGAAGAGCTTCGCCGTTCCTGTGATTACAGCAAGATTAAACACCCGAAACGTTGTCATATGATAAAGATTTAACGAAGAGAAGAGCTTCGCCGTTCCTGTGATTACAGCAAGATTATTCATACCATTCGTTCAGAGCTTTCACGAAGAAGTCTGACCATCGCGTAGGCGGTCGTCCAGGCGTTCGCTTGACATCCCGTGGAATCCAGTCGGTGATCGCTCTGGTCCAGCGGTCGTCCTCGAAACGCATGACGTGCCCGGCCCACCTATTCTTCAGCACCTCGACAAATGCGGCTGCTCTCTCGATCGCTGAGGGATTGCAGAACTCTGAATTCCCTCTCTCATTTGCGTGTAGCTCGGAGCATCGTTCTTTTCATGGCGCGTACGTGGATCATACCGTACGCACTTTTATCCTGCTTTTGTGGAATCCAGTTCCTCTTTTCTCCTCCTTCATCTTGCTTTTATACTCCCGTTATAGCTATGATCAAGCAGTGGAGTATAGGTTACATTTTGGGAGCAGAGGTAGAGAGGAATCGGGTTAGAGGTCCCAATCCACCACATTTCGTTTGTCCCTACTTTTCCGCGGCATGCTCGTATTCCCAAGCAGCTACACTCGCAGATGGTGCCGGGTCATCAACCCTTTCTGGGAAGCGGTCTGAGAACTCTGGAGAGGCGTATAGGCGCGCTGTTCGACTTTTTTGAGCGGAGGAAAACGATA